GGAGGATACAGAAAAGCCTGTTGACGTCATACAGGTACAAAAATAACGAAGTGCCCCATCCAAAGTTTTTAAACGGGAGTCTAAATTACTTGTAATATTTAATTGTTGAATTACGGAATTGTTTTTCAGGCCAAAGGGATGAAGCGACAGATAATGGACGAGTTTGTCTCCAACAACAAGTTCCTGCAGCTGCCTCGGCTGGTCAACCAGCAGCTTTTTGATGAGCTGTGCCCTGTGAAGCAGTTCCACCGACGGAGGAAGTAAGACATTTTATGAGTCCTTAGCCTCTAATCCCTGTAGTTTATATAATACCTCTCTGAAATGTACCTCTTGTGTAATAACACTTGATCGAAAGAGGCGTCTCTCTGCTGCGTGTCCTGATTTGACCGTTGACATCATATGACAACTGTAAGATGTGGAAATCCCAACAGAATAGCCGGACAGGCCTTTCAGTAGCTGTCACTCTGAGCTGAAATGTTGTGTAAGGATCGGCTGCTGCAGCAGGGGAATTGACCGTGAAATGCTTCGCAGGTACTGTGTGCTGCTGATCACAGGGGAGGACCAAGCCTTTCTTCCGGGCAACAAGGCTTTCCTCGACTTTGCATCATTTAACAGAAAAGACGTGCTGCGGTTTGCTTACGTCTACCAGCGTCAGCAGCAGCCTCTCTGTCAGGCACTGCTCCACAATCAGGCTGCAGTCTCACCGCAGGTCAGTGGCAGAAACATCAACTGCATGACAACAGAACAAAAAAACCGTTGAGGACAACGTGCACTTGCTGGAAAGTTTTATACGTGTCAGATAACCAATATGTGCGTCCTATGACTCTGCATTTTATCACCACTGACAGGTGGTGATTATTGAGAGGCGGAGCCACGCTGGCAAGGTCATGTACCGCTCAGTGAGCGGTGGCTGGAACGGCAGTGAGGAAGATAAGTACCGCCTCCACGAACAGCTGGAGCTCCTGCAGAAAGACCCCACCTATCTGAGCTCAGACGCCACCCTGCCCGAACTCAACAACGAGATGGCGCCTGTAAGACACCGCGGACACACACACACTCACCTTAGTTCTCAGACCAGATCTTTTTGTTTTAATCTCGTTGTTTTCCATTTCATTTTTTAACTTCCCCAGATTTTTATTATTCAGTGGATGAATGCTGCCTATGATTACATCGTTCAAATATACGATGACCTTCTCTACTCAAACTGGTAAGACAACACTCACCCAGAGAGTCTGCAGCATCTCTCTCAAATGTAGCTGATGCTGAGTCATGCTTCAGCGTCACGATGTCATAATAACCTGGTGGGGGCTCTGTAGGCATGCATTTAGTGTGATACACCCATTCAAAAATGTAGCTAAAATTTGAGTTTAGTGGTATTGTTTGACATGGCCTGCTGGGTGTTTTCTCCTAAATGTTTTAAAAGTTGCATTTTTCTGTCCTCAAGGCGAGAAATGATGCCCATTCTGTCATTGATCTTCTCCGCTCTCTTCATTCTTTTTGGCACCGTCATCATTCAGGCCTTCAGGTGAGCACGGCATGAGCCTTTTGTATTCTGCAATATTATAATCATAGGCCCAAACATTTGAAATGTTAAATGAATTTAATTAAAATGTCTTGCACTCAATGATACTGGCTAGATCTACAATAGCAATGTGTTATTCAGCATCTTTTCATCTTAATTGTCTTCTAGTTCTGCATGATTAGTCCTGATTTTGATGTCAAGTGAGTCGAATCCTGGCTGGTTAGTGTTGCCCCGAAGGAGATATTAGTGCCCATACTGATACTTTCCTTCTTTTGGGGCGCTTTTCTAGTGAGCCAGGTGAGAACAAACCCCGGAAGCCAAAGCCAAAGGAGCAACCACAAACTGAGGAAGATGCATCAAGTAGAGCCAATACTTCAAGGTAATGTAGCGAAGTGACCACAAGATGGACGCAGAATACACCAGATAACATCTGGTTTGTTTGCTTTAACTTAAGCACATCCTTGAGTTGTCAGAGCAGCCCCAATAACTCCACAAGAAATGTTCTCCTCAATAATGAAACATGCCTTAGTGTTCAGAAATGTAGCCGACACGTGTAGTGTTTTGCTGTGATGATCAGGTTTGGAGTTTTGTACCACATCCTTTGATTTTCTTTTGCTCTATCCACTATGCAATATTTCACACTTTATGAAGTCTCATGATCTGCTGCAGATGAACCATATCGTCATGATAATCACTGTATATGTGGACTCACAAAGGCCTGTCTTTTAGAGTTAATACTATCTGTAATCATTCCTCCTCTCAATACTGGCTGTGAAGTGATCCCCTCATAACACGACTACGATATACCTCCCTCCCATCTTTCTCATCGGTCCACGTAGCCGTCCTCCTAAGAAGGACTTTGTGGAAGTGACGGAGTTGACCGACATCACGTACATCAGCAACCTGGTGAAGCTGAGGCCCGGACACATCAACGTTGTCCTGGTGCTCACCAACGCCTCCAAGAATGCTCTGCTCAGGAAATTTGCCAAGGAGGTCTTTTCTTTCTCTGGGTAAGTCTCAGCACTGCACAACATTTTTTTGAATAGTTATTTATGTCTATTGGTTTATTCATATAAAAGAGCCTTGTGAACGCAGACTATAGCTGAACATGGTTTCTGGTTTAAAGGAACTGTTAGTAATTTAGTGTCTACTTCCTTCTGTGATATTTCAGTTGTTTGCTTTTTAAGTATGCACCTTGTCCTCTAAGTTGCCCTGATTTGGCCCATGCTTGGTCCACCTAATAACCCTGAAGCCCTCTGCCACTACAGGACTCAGACTCTGCACTTCTCCTTCCTCAATGCTGATAAGCACCGCCACTGGATGCCATCGCTCCTTCGCTCAACCTCTGACACTATGCAGAGCGAGGGCCATTCGGACGAGGACGAGGAGTCTCCAGACTACGCCGGCCACGTGCTGGCCCTCAACGGCCACAAGAAATACTTTTGCCTCTTTAGACCCGTCTTCACAGGGGACGATCCCAACGACTCCTCGTCCGAGACCTCCTCCGACAGCAGGAGAAAGTCCCGGTCCAGGTCCAGGTCCAGCTCCCACTCTCGGTCCAGGTCCCATTCCAGGGAGGATGGGGCAGTACCCAAGAGGGGCTCCAGTAGGGCCACCAGCATAGAAGTCCACCACAAGCTCGATAGGCTGGGACTGTGGATGGAGAGGCTAATGGAGGGCACCCTTCCCAGATTACAGGTCCCTGCATGGCCCTCCCTTAGTGACACCACTAACTCCTTCACAGAGAGCTGAGGTCAAAGTAAAACAAAAACAAAAAGGTTTGATGGTAGTGGAAACACTTTGTGGTTTTGCATCCTGATTACATTCTTCAGCAAAAAAACAAACAGACTGTAGAACAGTGTTGCAGTTTTCAAATCATTATTTGAGTTATCTTACGCAGAGGCAGGTTGCTACAGTGAACTGTTGCAACCTGTTTACAGAATAATTTTATCTGTTAGATCGTGTGAAGCAGATGGAAGTTGAGGGCATAGAGTAGTGTGCTACCGCAAAGGTACAGGGCCTGCGCTGCATGATGCTGCTTAATGTTTTCTGTAAGGAGGAGGAAAACGGAGACTCTATAGGAAAACAACAAAAGCTGTAGTACACATACACACACACAGTCAATCTTTACACACGTAGAGATCCTGTTCAAGGTGGTGTACTCATTCCCCCCAAAAACAGCCAATAAGCATCATGGCACAGACGAAGGCTGCAGCTAGCTGTGTGCGTTACAGATTAACTCTAGTTCTCTGTGTTGCTTTCCTCTCTTTTTAACTCATTATGTGATATCATTCAGCTCGGAAAAAGCGCAATTATTTTGCTCTACTCAAGTCCTTTGAACCCACCTAGAGCCTCTCAGCCTAAACACATCTTTTCGACTGACAGCCTCCGATCGTGAGTTTTTACGAATATAGACGTGGAAACTCAGCCTGATGCACTTAGTTCATCTTTGTTTGCTGTTATAGATCTGCTGACCTTTTTTGATTCCAGACATTAAGACAGACAAATCCACAGCATTGTTGGAATCAATAATCAACTCGCATAAAAACCATTTACATTTAAGTATGTTTTTAGAATTTAGTTAATGATTAAATAGGATTCTTCCTGCTGTTTAAAGCTCAGACCAAGTTGCCATGTCATGCTGCTGTTCGTCTCGGGATTTAACATTAAATATGCTCGCAGCCAAGTTAAATATCATCTTGGATAAATCATACCCAAAATGTTACAAATCTGCCTTTTTGTCTTTACACTTGCTGTTTTGTCTGGGGCCGGTTTCACTTTCTTTTTTTTTTTTAAGTTGATTGTCTGAATCAGAGGTAAAAGATAAATGTTAACCAATATACTTTCTCTTTTTTAAGCCAGTTTCCTTAAACCACTGTAAATGTCAATGCATGGAATATGTAGACCTAAAATCACTAATAAGTGTTTAGTGAATTTGCACTGGCAGCTGAAATGCTTCACCCCGTCTCTCTCCTCCTCTTACTCTGTAACTGAATAATTTGCAGTACATTGTAACCCTTATATTTCTTCTTGTATGCCCTTTGAACTTCATTTTTGTCTGTATCCTACTGTGAGAAATGAAGTGTAAATTATTAAAAGAAACTCATTTTAAAACTGTTTATTTATTAAAACGTATGGATACGATATGTCATTTTCTGTGTTGCTTCCTTAAACCAAATATTGTGCATGTCAACCACTCTTGTGTCTGTGTGTGTTTCATACAACAATGCAGGCTCAGAACTCAGTAGGAATGTCAAAATACATTCTACATGGACAGTTCTTCAGGGCCAAAGGAGACAGGTAGCAGCTCCTCCACAGTCTTTTTCAGGTACGATCCGTCGGGCTTTGACATGTAGACATCCCAGTGTAATCCAAACTGAGAGGGAAATGACATCAAAATCAAATATAGCAAGTAGTCAAGTCCTCACAAAGCATCAGGACAAGTTAATACGAATATATCATCACAAACTGGAAACTAAAAGCTGCACTAAACCAGTAGACCAGCAGAGATCGTACCTCTCTCATGAACTGCCTGCAGCCACCACACGGGGAGATGAACTTGTCATTCATGTCACTGCAAGGAACACATGAGCAAAAATGGAGTTGAGAAACAAAACTGGGATTATTGTTGAACACCTATACACTGTAGCCTCTACTGTTTTGGAGCGATGACAGTGTCTCGCGGTGGTGTGACTTCACTACAAATCTTGGTATTTTTTTCTAAAGTCGGCTCTGTTCTATACAGCTTTCTTGCACAAACCTTATCATCACAAGCCGTTTAAAAGAAGCTTCTGCTCATTTTGGTGCAGCATTTGGTTTCTGCACATCCACATCCAACTTATTCTTGCCTCACTATTTGGTAAACCAACTGTTGAAGTTTTACCAGAGTTTTACACAAGACAGATCTGTGTTGTGTGAAATAATTCATGTGTCATGGTTTGGTAGTAGAGTAATGGTGACTGGATGCCGACACCTTGAACATATTAGACGCCGACATTACCTGGCAATTGCAATTGCCTTGAAACTTCTGTGGCCTTGTGACACTGCCTTTGCGATCGCATTCCTTTCAGCACAGACACCCAGATTGTAACATGCGTTCTCCACATTACAACCTGCCAGAGGACACAAGTATACAGTCATGAGTTATTTAAGTGCATTTGCTTCAGAAAAATGAAACTCACACAAAAAGGCTGTCTATTTACTTCTTCTCTCCTGATCAAACAGTTACTCAACAGGTCATTGCAGTAACAGCAGATTGCCATGCTATTTTCGCTTTGTACAGTCGAGCAACATAAGCAGGAAAGTTGCTTCTTGTCCTTGTTGTCAGGTAATCATTAACATAGCACAGACAAATGAAACTGATCAAGCCAATGATCAACTTCCTTTTTACTTTTAATGAAATTTTATTACTTCTCACAGGTGTCAAATGATCACATACAGCAAAAAAAAGGAGCGAGAGAAGACTCGAGAGTTAAACAGAAGTAATTCCGTGTCTCTGATTTGTTCCCGGCTGACCATGTGGTTAACTTTTACAATGCTTTCTCATATTATTCTTTAAAGTCTACACAATGGCATTTAACTTGACAGATTTGTTTTAGGAAAACACTTGAAGCTTCGTGTGTGTCTTACCTGTAATCACAGTGTCGTCTTTCGTCAGGAGAGCAGCTCCCACTCTGAAATTGCTGTAACAACAGTAGGCTTGCTGCTTTGCCTCCTGAGACTGTTGGATCAGCTTCTTGACTGTTTCCTGAGACAAGGGCATCACACCACCGCTCAACTCGACTTGGTCCATAATTGCTCTTGGGGCTTGGAAGGCTGTTTCTGATTCAGTGAATGAGTCAATTGTAGCTCAGCTTAGGAATGGGACAGAGGGAAGAGGAAGAGGGAGTGGTCACAGCCAATCACTGGCTAGGATGCCAAAAGCTGTCATAGTGTAATGGAAGGCGGCTTTGTTGTTAGTCATATCTATGAAGTCGTGGCAGGATGTTGTGACGCACGACTAAGCAAACAATGTTTCCGAAGTACTTTTGTTCCTTATCGTGTATAGGAGTCTGATAAATAACCGAAACCAGCGGAGACAGTTTTAGAAAACATTTATCTTTATTGTTAAGTTCAGCTAAATACAAAGTGCATTTAGTTGTAGAAGTAGTAGTAGTTATTGTATGTCAGACATTTATTTTACAATAACCCTGAGTCTTTTCTCTTTAGTGTTTTTGTTGGAGAAAATCATCATATAACTTTGAACAATTCCGAGGATTGAACTGAACACATTTGGACTCACAAGCAACCCGTTTATATAACGTGTTATCTGAACACAGTCCGACTCTTAAAAACATCCTTAGGAAGTGATCAAGGTGCGCCAGATAAATTGTAATAAATCTCTCCAATTTGTGCCAAAATATTTCCCGTACATGAGTCATGTGTTCTGCCAAAAGGTTAGCTCGACCCAAACGAAGTCATGAGAACATGACAATGAAGAGACCAGTAACTTAAGGGGGGTGAAGTTTGACTATAAAAGTGATATGTGAAAAGTAATAGGCCTACATTTGGATTTGTTTCGATTTGCTAAACTCGTTGATGTTGGCTTGTTCTTATTAAAACACTTCCCGCTGGTTGCAACTTCAATTCGCCATCTCTTCTTGTCATTTTGCCACAACATAATTGGCGCCCCAACGTGTGTTCGAGTCGAGGCCGAGGCATCTTCCACTTCTTCAGCCAACCGACAATCACGCTAGAGGCCACGTATCAGAGATTTTCATATCTCACCATAGATTTATTTCTGTACAGCGTGATTCTCGCTTGTGTGATAAGGTGGGAGTGTCTGGGGTCCCCTCAACGGAATCCACGCGACTTGTGTGCTTATGATAAAGCAATTTCTGCAAATAATTGTAAAGAACTCCATTGTGAGTTGGATACGTAGGTCCTAAAAAAAACCCTCTACGGAGGCCTTCTCTGAGCCTACAAAAGGACTGGCTTAGATTTACATATTAATAACTAGAAAATAGGGAATCTGTTAAGAGTGGTTTCTGTTTGAGGCAGGAAGCTACGCTGACAAGAGACTCAGAAGTTTTGTGCAGAAATCTAATGAGCAGAAGAAATAATATCTAACTAGACAATAAAATGAGTAGTACAGTTTGAAAAGGTGTGCACACGACTGTAACTTATTGACAGTACTGATAAAGTAATACTATAAAGGAGAGATCCTTATGTGACAAAGGGAAGAGACAAAACTCCCTATAAAAAACCCTGTGTAAAGATTAATGAGCCTCTGGTGGAAAAGTGGTCGGGTGAAACAAAGAGGACATTTGTAACTGTGACAAGCAGCCCAAAAGTAAGAATCTCTCGTTAACAAAAGAGTACAAGCAATTCAAAATAAAGCTCATAGTCAAAGTCCGACATTAGAAAAAGAAGATAAAAAACAAAGACCTGAACAAAAACTGACTGACAGACTGAGACCGCTGACTATTGATGACCCATACACCCGGGTGGCTTTGCATGAGTATGAGCTATTGGCATGTTTTTGGTTGTTTACCCAGTGATAACGCTGTTGCAACAGTTTAACCAAGCCGCAAATAAGTTGTGAAGGTAAAAGTTTCATCGTGATTTTATTGAGTTGCTCTGGTTACAAAGAGACTCTACAGCAGTACACAAGCTCAAAGCTTCCAAACCTTATAGTTCAACTTGTCAATTAGAGTGTATAAAGTTAGTAACACTAGTGTCGCAGTGGTTGTATAATTGTAACTTAGAGTATTTTTATTTTATTTTTCCCTCTTTGTTAAAAAATAGTAATTGATGGTAGAGGTGAACTGCCGTTTTTGTTCATTAACTTTTCTTATGTATCACAGGGAGCCAAAAATGTAGTAAATATATTTTGGGTGGCTTGATTAATGTGTTCAAAGTGAAGAAAAAAAAATATATATAGGTTGTTTCAATCCATCTGCATATATCCCGAAGTATATTGTGTCCAGATCCTATTCTGGTGCAGTTTAGGAGAAAAAAAAAAGTTCAAGCTCCGTGTACTTGGTGGTGGCAGAACGCCCAGATGTGTGTTGCGTAAACCCAATTTAGTAGCCAGTATAAACTCTTGCGCCACCTCCCTAGTGTATGTTTGGCTGTACGCCCAGATGTTGGGGCCTTACAGGCTCGCTCTCTCTGTACAGAGAGGAGTAGAGTTGTCATACATACAGACAATGATCATACATATAGTTCCTAAATAATCAGAAAAAGAGCGGCGACAGGTATGGAAAGGGGTTGTGGAGATCACAGGAAGGATTGTTGGTTGCACTTGGTGCATTGCTGACCATCTCAGAATCGCACAGTGAAAATCACTGTGAGCTGGAAAACACAATGGTACCATAGCATGAAGTCATATTACCTAGTACAAGTTCAAATTTGATAACAATACAATAGAAAATGAATACACATGGTTTACTAAGAGTACGGAGTAGAGTAAAAGCACATTTGGAGGCTCGTAGTCACCACATCAAAACGCAAAGACTACAATAAACTACGTGTCCGAAATTCGAACTATAGTTCATTTATGTCAATGTATGACATGTCAACTATATGTCAACTATAACATATTTCACAAATTCTTGAGAATTCCCATTAACCAGACTTTGCTCTTAATAATCGGTCTCAGGTATTTGGGTCACGGTACTACATTTGAGTTCGAAAGACTTTCCCAAGATGCAATCTGGTGAATCTGCATATCCTTCTCTTTGTAATTTCATTGGCTATTATTTCAGACGACAACTACCTAAGTTATCTGGATAGCTGGCAGGTGGAAAATAAGCC